ATAAGCAACCCTCTTCACCCCCAGCCAGGGCCCTAGAAGGGGTTAGGACCTCACAGAAGCAAGGAACAACATGGCTACCTCACCCTAGCAAATAAATTAAGGTGTCCAGTTGTTGTTATTTCATGTACTAATTTTATAGCCTGTGCTAGAACAAGGTAAGAAATAACCAGTGAATGAATAAATAACCTGGCCATGACCAAGTTATCCTCCACCCTTGTGTTCTAATAGGGCCTCGATGCTGCCAGGAGACTTGCTCCATCATGGGCTTGGCCTTGAGCACAGGAGAACCCTGTGCTGAGTAGATTCTAGGTCTATAGTAATCTTGTTATGAACTTAAGGGTCACAGCCCCAGTCCTGAGCCAGGTGCAGCTACCCAGCCTCAATAAGCCAATTAAAAGAACCGAATTAAAAGAAGAAAGCAGAAAAAGGAGATTTATTCTTGCTAAGAAATTCTGCTAATAAATAAATTTATTATTTATTTATGTGGGCATGTTGGGAAAGAGAGACAAGACACAGTGAGCCACACCACCCCAAGCATGTCTTTGAGGTCCTGAAGTGGATTAAAGTTTAACTAGAAGACCCCACCCACCACCGACCCATCACAGCCTGGGCCCAGTCTCATCCTGTATGGTTGCTTGAAAAGTTGTCACAACTGTGTGGAATCTTTTTCTGGGACCCTGGCTGGCAACTTTTCCTTTTCTCAGGATGGGATTCCTGGGGAAATTTTCACTTCTTTGTGGTCCATTGTTTCATTAGTCTGATAGATTATGAGACACATGTCTTTTTAGAATACCTTCATTTCTGCCAGGGTCTATTAAAACTCCCTACCTTCTGTTCTAACACCTCTGGTTCATAAGATTGCAAAGCCCATCAGTTCTCATATTCATGTCTCTTGGGGCTCTTTTCTCTCCAAACCTAGCTCACTCAGATCCTCTCTGCCGCCCAGCTTCACCTCAGTACCCAGCATCTCACAGTGCCCAAACCACACCACAGAGGGTTCCCGCTTAACCAGGCTTCATGCTTCAGGTCCCCTGCTCTACTGACTAAACCAAATGGAGGAAGCTGACCTCTGAGGTCCTATATGACCTGGGCTCATCCTAAACTCCTTTCCCTTCCTGTGTTGTTCCAGACACTCCGAGCCATCCTGTGATGACAGCACTGATCTCAGCTGTGATCCCAGCCTAGGTACCAGTGCAGGCATCAGTGACAGAATCTATGCAACATCACCAGGTGACAAACGTGTGCACAGATCCCATCTGTGAAAGACCTCCAGGATGTGTGATTCAGACCCAGGCAGATGTCAGGGTGGTTTCTCATGAAGCAGCATCAGCTGATTTAACCTGCAGGGTCTCATCTGGTGCCCGAAGTCATAGTGCTGTAAGAGTGACCCAGGGCATTGCTGTGAGCATGTATGCATGTGTGCGCCAATACTCATGTGCACCACACTCATGACTAGCACACTCCAATCAATTGTACCATCAGCTTCTCAAACCACAGGCTCAGCTGTGTGGCAGGCCTGCCCTGGCCTCTGACCATTGGGCTCATCTGAAGAATCTGGGGCAGGCTCCATATGCCCAGGCTCATGAGCAGGTCAGGAGACTTGGCTCGTTATGACCAAAGTTCTACTCATTCTGGCACTCAGAATAAAGCGGGGAAGGAAGCAGGAGAATAGAGGACCTGCTTTTCTTGACTCATCCGTGGATGAGCCACGGATGAGCAAGGAACATGATGCTAACAGTTATACAGGGCTTCCAGTATCAGAGGTAGGGTGGTGGTGGGAAGAGACTGAAGGCGGCTAGAGGCCCACTTCAGGAGGAAGGCCACCCTCCCAGTATGTGGGCCCAGGAAACAGCTGCTCAGAAATGACCTAAGTGAGCAAGCTGCACTTTGGCAGGTATTACAGTAACTGGCTAGGCCAGCAGTTCTCAGCCTGTGGGTCGAGACCCCTGGGTGTCACATATCAGATATCCTCGATATTTACATTATGATTCATAACAGTGGCAAAATAACAGTTATGAAGTAGCAATGAGGTACTATTATGGCCAGGGGTCAGCACAACATAAGGCATCATTGTATTAAAGAGTCCCGGCATTAGGACGGTTGAGAACCACTGGACTGAGTTGAGTTGGAGTGGGTATCAGCTACAAGGTAAGGAGGATGGGAAGTCTCAGGCAGGCAACATCTGACTTTCCCATCCATCGTCACCTGCATAGTCAAGGCCAGCTTCCTTAGACAACCGCAAGACACCACACAAAATGATTCCGACTTCAGCCGCTCACCTCCCATCAGCAACAGCCACACAGACCTGCAAGTCTGGCTATACGGATATACTGGAAGACCCCAGACCCTCTCAGTGTGTCCCCCTGCAGATTAGTCCAGACCTCTGCACACCTGAAGAGTCCTTGGATTGTGGACTCAGTAAGCCTAGGAGGAGCTCCAGGTGGAGTACCTGACCTGAGGCTTCCTCGGGTACCCCAGGAATGGGCTGACGACTCAGCAACACATGTACCATTGAAACCGAGGCTTGTCAAGGTGCTGGGGTACATCCTTGTAATCTGAGCACTCGGGAGATTGAGGCTAGGGGATCGCTAGTTCAAGGCCGGCCTAGGCTGTACAATATGGCTTTGTCAGCCACAACCCAAACTAAAAACTCACGGAGGCCTGGGGCAGTTAAATGATCTGGCAGACCACCTAAGTCTTTGTGACAAATTGCATCACAATTGTATAGGAAATCAGACAGCCCCACAATTCCACTCCATGTCTGTCTTCAGGACCAAAGGGATTCAGTAGGTATATATCCCTGCAACTTGGAGAAGGAACAGGACCGTCTAGAAAGACAAATCCCACAAAAGGATTTCCTTGTGGCACGCATACCCTTTCAGCAGCCTCAGCACACAGAGAAACGAGGGGGATTTCAGAGAAGTGTCTTTGCTTATCACAGGCCCACATTGTACTTGAAGTTAATCCTATCCAGCCAGAATGTAACACTTGGGAGTTGTTGACTTCACTCCACCCTGCATGACTCATTTCCTGTGTTGTGGGGACTTTTGAGCCATAGGCTTTCAAGTGTAGCCACTTGACCATTGGTCCCTTTCTGTTTCCCTGGCATCCCAGAGAAGCCCAAGAAACGGCTCTGGGAGGAGCAGAGGAGTGAATGAGGGCTGAATAAGCAACCCTCTTCACCCCCAGCCAGGGCCCTAGAAGGGGTTAGGACTTCACAGAAGCAAGGAACAACATGGCTACCTTACCCTAGCCAAGGGGGATAGTGTGGTGAATAAGGGTAGGTTTGGGGTCCTGCCTGGCTGCTCTACTTGGAAGCAAGTTTTGTGTTTCTCAGGCCCCAGCCTCCTTACTAGTAGAGCTCGGTCAGGAACACGGTCTGGTCTCAGGGCTGCTTGCGGAGGGTGGGGTGGGGATAGTAGGGAGAAGAAGTTAGGCCCCACTGTGAACCATGGCTGACCATGGCAAACCTGCCATCTCCAGGCTTTGGGGCCAGTGGTAGTCCTAGGGGTAGTCCTCAGCAAATCCCAGGCAGTGGTTGGGGGATGGTGATGAGCCACAGTTTATGACACAAACCACTGAAGCCTGTGGTGAATGGCAGCTTACTACAAAGCCTTTTGATAACTGGGGGCCGGTAACCAAGCCCCATTGGGCTACATTATTCAAGGCAGAAGTACTGAGATGTGTCCTCAGGTTCTCATGGTCTACCAGCTCCAGGACCCAGATGACTTCATTATGCAGAAGCATTATCCTTAAGTCTTAATTCTCCTGGTCCTCCTCAGGCTCCATGAGGAGTCCACCTACTGGGTGTCCAGTCCAATCAGCAGCCCGGTCAAGAAGGCCATGCCCCAAAGTGGGCACTGGGATCAAGGCCACATCTGATCTTGATCTTGGCATTTATAAAAAAATTAATTACATTAATCGACTTTGTGGGTGAGAGAGGAATATACATGCCACTGTGCACATGGGGAGTTCAGAGGACAACTCGAAGGAGTTGGTTCTCTGCTTCCACCATGGGCATCTTGGTAATCAAATTCAAGTCACCAGGATGTGGAAAGTGCCTTTACCATCTGGGCTAGTCACTGGCCTGATCTTTGCACTTTTTCCTTTCAAAAAGATTTACAGTGGACTATATGAGAGATTCTCAACAATAAAAAAAAATTTTCAAGAGTAAAACAAAGCTTTATCTGAAATGAGAGGTCTGAGGATAGGTAGAAGTAAGGCGTGAGTGTACTTAATGGAGAAAGGTTTTTATTCCCAAATGAACTCAGATGAAATAGATAAGAGAGTCAGGTTTGAGGGAAGTCACTTTGCATACCTGCATAATCCCTCCCCATGGTAGGATCTCCCCACTGGTAATTCATTCCCTTGAATCATGAATCACTTGGCTGACATACACAACAATATCGGGGGCTGTCAGAAACACTTAATGCATCAGTGTGAGTTTCCTGATGCCTTTCATGGTTCTGAGTCATGCTTGGTACAAAGGGAACTCTAAGAGGGAAGAATGTTTCATGAAATGAGCTATTAAGAATAGTCCGAGCCGGGCGGTGGTGGTGCACGTCTTTAGTCCCAGCACTCGGGAGGCAGAGACAGGTGGCTCTCTGTGAGTTTGAGACCAGCTAGGTCTACAACAGCTAGTTCCAGGACAGCCTCCAAAGCCACAGAGAAACCCTGTCTCGAAACAAAACAAAACAAACAAAAAACAAAACAAAACAAAAAAACTCCCGGTTTGCACAGGCTGGCCTGTCCCTCCTGCCATCCTTACTTTTGAAATAGGTGGTTGAACTGGAGGATGTGAGCAGAAGCCAGCACGCCCAGCACATTGTCCACGTTCATCTCCACCTCATTCATGTAAAGGTTCTTCAGGGCCAGGGCGAAGGCTGGGGAAGCAGCAGCAGAGGGGGAGCCATTAGTGTGGGATTTGTGTGCCCACCCAGGGGTCTTACTACTCCTTCAGCCGGGAGTGGGTAGAGATGCTTGGAGGAATGGTGAGCACAGACTTGGGTGCAGACTACCTGTGCTGATGACTTCCTGGACCCGCATTTTCCTGGAGAAGCTGAGGATGAAGGTAAGGAAAGCTGATTTCTACTATGAGGACCCTCCTTTGAGCCTGTCTTCAAAGTCTGTGTGTCAGACCACCACAAGGCCAGCATGTCCCCAAGGTCTCCCCTAACCTGGGGTCCATGACCCCACGGGAATGTGTCTACTTGAATCTGTGAAGAATGTTATATACAGGCAGTGCACTTCTTCTCTAGATCCATGACATGGAGCTTTATGATGGGTTTTCCCTTGGAGTCTGGGAACTTCAGAAGAAGCCAGGCACTTCTGGGAAGAACCAGGATAATTTAATAATCTACAAACCAGACTGCCTGGCTACAGGTCAGATGGACTTGGCCTCTTGTAAATGCAACATGTGCTGAGATAGTATTGATATGCTGTTGCAATGTACTGTGAGCTGTACCGGTGCCCGGTGCTCCAGGGCACTATCCACAGTGCTCCTGACCTACCTACAGACCTGTGTCGTCACAGCATGTCATACGAGCTGTGTTCACATGGATGACTGACTGGGAAAGCTGGGGAAAGGTTGAACACTCTGCAGGAACCTTCTACTGCTGCTGGAAGCCAGCCAATGGGGACCACTGGGGGGCAGGGTCAGGTCAAGTGTTGTTTGGAAAGAAGGGTAGGCCCATGGGTGTCCCTGTACCCTACAGACATGAGCTCAGTAGGGTAGTTTCCCCCAGGTCTGAGAAGCCTGAACATTCTTCCCTTTCTGTTTGTCCCCTCACCAGTGACCACATTGGTTTTTAGGGATGATGTTCTTTCCTTTATTTTTCCTAGTGTCCCAGCCCTCTTGACCCTTCTTTCTCCACACTGTTCCCCCCCCTCTCTCTCTCTCTCTCTGTGTGTGTGTGTGTGTGTGTGTGTGTGTGTGTGTGTGTGTGTGTGTGTGTATGTGTGTTAAGGCCAAGGGTTGATGTCAGGTTTTTTGTTTTTTTTTTTGAGGCTGTGTCTCTCACTGAATTTCATCACTTTGGCTCAGTTGGCTGGCCACTGATCAGAACTTGTCTATGTCTGCCTCCCTGATCCCATCCAGCACTTGTGTTACAGATGTGCACACATCTGGCTTTTACTTGTGTGTGGAGATCTGAACTTGGGTCCCTGTGAGCATGCAGCAGGCTTGGTACTGACTGAGCCATCTCTCTAGTCCCTGCTCAGTAGTTCTGAGGAGGAGCCTGCGTCTCTTGTTTGCTCTATTTTGCTGTTCATTTTTGTCTCTGGGAGAACCATTCAATGGCCTTCTCAGAATTTGAAGACAGGTTACATTACCAACTCTGGTGACTGCCGGGTCATTGATCTTCAAAGAAATGATCATCTTCTTTACAGGAGACTTTTCTTTGATCCTCTCACATGGCCGAGCTAGTGAAGAAAATGCAGTGTGAAGATGGAGAATGAGGCCCTGCCACCCTGCACACAGCCTGGATCTTGGCACATGTTTTTTGTTTGTATTTTTAGTTCGATTGTTTGGTGGATGCATTTTAGAGGTGACTACTCATTTCAAATAGTTTGAGACTCCACAAGAAGCTGAAAAGTGGCACAGAGGTTCCTATGTGATCTTAGCATTGCCAAAATGGGTGCCAGAAATCTGCATTGTGCTACCTGGCTTGTTGACTGTGGTTTGCTCTCTGCCCCCTCTCTGTCCTTCCATTTCCCCCATCTAATCTGTGAACAGTTTAAGGGCAAAATGGGCCTCAACCATTGGTTTTGGTGCCTGGGCTGCAATGGGTAGAGCAAGAAGCAAGTGGGGTCACAGTGGCCACCTCTGAAGGATGAGTAAGGGGGCTGTGGCATCCACATGGTGGCTCTCTTCTTCTTCTTCTTCTTCTTCTTCTTCTTCTTCTTCTTCTCCTCCTCCTCCTCCTCCTCCTCCTCCTCCTCCTCCTCCTCCTCCTCCTCCTCCTCCTCCTCCTCCTTCTCTTCCTCCTCCTCTTCTCCCTCCTCCTCCTCCTCCTTCTTTTCAAGACAGGGTTTCTCTGTGGCTTTGGAGGCTATCCTGAAACTCGCTTTGTAGACCAGGCTGGCCTCAAACTCTCAGAGATCCACCTGCCTCTGCCTCCCAAGTGCTGGGATTAAAGGCGTGTGCCACCAACACCAGCTTGGCTCTCTTCTTTTTAAACACATTATTACACCAGGTGGTGGTGTCACATACCTTCAATCTCAGCACTTGGGAGGCAGAGGCAGGTGGATCTCTGTGAGTTCAAAGCCAGCTTGGTCTACAAAGTGAGTTCCAGAACAGCCAGGACTGTTTACACAGAGAAACCTTGTCTCAAACAAACACACAAAATGTGTTATCACATCCATACATCCATAGCACATGTGTAGGTCAGAAGACAGTTTTGGGAGTCAGTTCTCTTTTTCCACCATGTGGGTCCCAGAGCCCAAACTCAAATTGTCAGACTTGGTGGTAAGCAGCTTTGCCTGCTGGGCCATCTCACAAGCCCCACATAGTGGCTCTCAATGCTTTGCCCCGTGGGAGAACCCCTGCCATTGAAGAGTTCTGGGTGAAGGAGTGGGGCACGCCAATGACTGTTAGCTAGTCCATGTACTTAGAGTTGTTCTAAACTGAGGCTCTCAGAGGGGGTTTCCAAGATTACCCCTTCCCCTTGGCACAGAGGCCAGAGAGTCACCTGTGATCCCAGAAGTTTCCTGGCCTTCAACTTCTCCCTAGGTCCTAAATATACCAGTCTGAGTTTGCTCCCCTAAATAATGTGGCAATCCCTCCCTGCCTTATTCCTTCTCTAGGGGCCTACACACAGGTCCTGTTCTCAGAGAGGCCTCCCTGGCTGACCTCATATGACCTTGTCACCAGCAGAGGTCTTGCAGGACCTAGTCTTTAGAGACACTATTCTGGACCCGTGAAAGATCACATGGGCACTGCCCACTTTCCCACCACAGGCTCTTTGGCTTTCCAATGCACTCCTTCCCTAAGTCATCAGAGCCCCCATGGATGGCTCAGGTGGTGGTCTGACCTAAGCTCTGTTCTAGAGGACATGAGGCAAATGCTTAGGAACAGAAAAGACATCACAAGGAGGGAACCAGGTCTCTGTGCTTCTGTGGAGCAGTCACACATCTGGCTCTGTGTCAGTTCAGATGCTGTTTGACCCTGTGGGTGCTAGCAGGTAAGAGAGCGTACTCCAGGCTCAGGGAGGGACACTGAGTGGGGACTCTGGCTGCCTGGCTGGCTGCAGAACAACAGGACATCGCTTCCACAACCTGAAACTACAATCCCACTCTGGCCAGCATGCTGGCTAGCTTTGGGGACTATGGATCTTCCATTTCACCTGCTTGTGAGTCAATCTGGAGTATAGTCAGGCTATTGTCCAAAGAAATTGGTGTTGTAACTGCTGAAGACATATGTACTAGGAAAGAGGAGGCCCAAGGTGGGTTAGAGTGCAAAGAGGGGAGAATAAAGAAGTGACCTAAATTCTTTTTTAGAAGGTGATAAGTTGAGGAAAAGAAAAGAAAACTATAACAAACAGCAGGAAGGGAACAGAAGGAGAAACACACGTGTTAACTTCTAGCCAGCATGAACAGGGCAAACAAGTCAGATTTCAGAGCTATGCTTTCCTTCCAGAAAGTTCTTCAGGAGATTCATCATAGCCCATCTTGTCTGCTCTAAGAAGCAGGTAGGCTCTGTGTCTTATGTGGTTGGGTAAGACTTGTTTGTTGCAAAGATATTAATGGAGATGCACTGAGTGCTTGCTGTATGCCAGGTATTGTTCTAGAAGCCCCATACTGATAACCTCCTCTAGGCTCCAAAGCCTTGCAATGAGAACTATCATCCCTCGTCATGGCTGAAGAAGCAGGTTCAACACATGGTGAGCTCACGGTGTAGAGCATGATTTATCACTAGTGAAGAGGGCCACGGGCCAGTCAATAACCATATTCTCTCAATCCTGGAGATATTACCTTTCAGAATCTTGTGCAGCTCCTTTGCTTGACTTTTAGTGTTCTGCTTCAGGGCTGTTAAGTAAAGCTTGGCCAAGGTCTCAGACTGAAAAATCTGAGAGTGGTGGAGTTCCCACTTGAAGCCAAGGCATTGAAGGATCACATCTAAGGAGAGAAAAATCATAGTCTCCTTCCAATGGCCCTCGTTACTCAGTAGATAAAAGGGACAAGTGACTTCCTGGACCTTGGTGTAGTGTGGGGCCAAGTGCTTACCGGCTTTGAGGGGGACTGCATGAGCAATGTTACGGCAATCAGTGCTCCAAGGGCTGCTGACAGAGTTGTAGTTTTCCAAGGCGTGTAAGCTGCTCTCTAACTCTGGGGCTTGGAAATGACTCCGAACAACCTTTAGGGAACCTTTTTGAGCGGACTCTCTTAGGGGGCTTCATATGGAAGTAAAATGGTACTGTAAAGAAAGCCCTTTGCAAACTGTGGAATGCCTTAGTGGGGCCGTCTGACCTGTGTCTGTCATAGATGATTAAGAAGAGACCTTGATCAGAGGGCAGGTGAGTGTGCAAGCATGCCCTGCCAAGGTGAGACAAGAGGGGGATGGGTGAGAGGACTCTGCACAACTCAACTCTCAGTGTTAGCACAGAGCTGGGGGAGGGGCGGGTGAAAGGGACAATTGTTCTAAACCTGACATGCTCTAGAAGGCCACTTGCTGTTTCTTGGCTTTGCCGTTAGTCTGATGGTGTGACTTGGGGGTCCCTGTCTCTCCTTCCCGATGTTGTCATTCTCTAACTTAAGATGTTTCATGTTGGAGTTTAGAAACTAAGTTTGCATCTCAAATCTTGGATGACCTCAGGCAGTTTGGTTATGCTGGGTTAGAAAAAAAAAGTCTCATATATGTAGGGTGGTTATAGGAAGAAACAGAATTATAGATCCAGCATATTCCTTCTCTGGATATCAGCCTCAACTCTGAAGACAGTCATTACATGGTAGGCATCACTAATCAATCCTGGTGTCCTTTCTCCTCACCTAAGAAGGTCTCCAACTGCTTCTCTGAGTCCATTAAAATTGGCAGATGAGAAGAAATGATTAGCTTTCCCTTCTTTAAGAGAGTGG